GGGGGAGAGCCACACAGATGTGCACGCAGCCCCCCGGCACACACACACACAGACATGTGTCCCACAGACACACACACACACAGACATGTGTCCCACAGACACACACACATAGACACAAACACACCGACACGCTCACCACCGCACAGACACGTACTCCTCAGACCCAGATACATACCTCCGACACACACACACACACACACACACAGACATGTGTCCCCCCACACACACACAATCACCACCACAGACACAGAAACACAAACGCACCGACACGCTCACCACCGCACACAGGTATGTACCCCAGCCCCAGATACATATCTCCAACAGACACACACACACATAGACATGTGTCCCTATAGACCCACAGACACACACATGCACACTCACCACACACACACGCTTACCACCACACACAGATACATGCCCCCAGACACTGATATGTATCCCCAACAGAAACACACACACACACGCTCACCACCAGACACATATCCCCAACAGACACACATGTTCACCACCACACACAGACACATACGCACACAGACATGTAGCCCCTACAGACACACAAGCACACAGGTATGCTCACTACCACACACACACACATATACACACAGACACGTACGCCCCCCAGACACAGATGCACACACAGACATACACGCACATCACACAGGGAGAAAGTCTGAGGGGCAGCAGCGAAGGGAAGGACAGACAGAGACAGACGTAGGACATCAGAATGCTCAGAGAGAAAGGCGAAGGAGAGATTAGGAGGGTGAAAACTGCACAAGCCAGTCAGACACAATGGGAGCCCGGGGAGAGGCGGAGAGGAGGGCAAGAGGTAGCATGGGCTGGCTGCTGGAGCTCTATGGACAGAGTAGGTTCTAGAACTGCAGAGGCCTGGCCTGAAGAGGCTGGGGCAGGCCTGGCTGTGGCCAGCGTGGCCACCGCACACACACCTGAGGCCACAGGGACGCTCAGAGCTGCACCCAGAGGTGGGGTTACCACAGGTCATGCACCACCCACAGAGCCTCAGGGAAATGGAGCAGTGGGAGACAACCTTGCTGGAACAGAAAAAGCCTTAGAGAGGAACCGTGCGTGTGTGTGTGTGTGTGTGTGTGTGTGTGTGTAGGGGGTGGGGAGCAGGGGGAAGGCAGAGCAGAGGAGAGAAGGAGGGCTGGAGAGTACTATTTACTTGGCACCACTGGGCCTCAGGTATTGGCGGGTCCCCTCACTTCCACGATTAGGGAATCTCATTAATCCTCACAGGCAGCCTGTGAGGGAGGCATATAGGCCCTCTTTATAGATGAGGCCACGGCTCTGGGAGGCGGGCAACATGGCGGAGACGGGAGGCCGTGTTGGAGCCGCCTCTGGAACCCGGGGTCGCTGCTCAGCTCCCTGCGGCCTCCACCCCTCTCATGGTCAGCCTGGCAGACCCTTTATGCTGACAATGAAAGCAGCAGCGGAAGCCTTCGCCCTCAGGCTGGTGGCCTGCCTTCCCAGAGGAGGGGTCCAGCAGGGGCCCTGCTGGGAACCTGAGTCCTGAGGCCCCGACTTCTCCAGGAGGTGGTTAGTCACGGCTGTTGGTGCCGACAGCGGTTTGACTCCGAAGAAGGGAATTAAAGCAATAGCAAAGCCACAGGCATTGCTGGGCCTCTGGCCTCAGTATTCTCAGCTGCAGAACGGGTATGCTGAGGCCTCACCTCAGGGTCTATCATGTGACTTAACTGACAGATACAATGCCTGGAAAAGGGCTCGATAAACTGTAAAGAGCTGTGCACAACTGGGAGTGCAAACAGAGGGAAGAACAAAGCCCTTGTTTCAGGAGGAGCGATGCTGGAAGTACCACTTAGCCGAGGGCAGGGCCACCCTAGAGTGACTTGAGTGAAGTAAAGGGCTCTCCCAGGTGGAGGAGTGGCCTCCGAAGTTGAGGTCCAGAGTCAACTGTGATGGAGTGGCCAGAGACTGGGCCTGGAGCCAGGAGGCCATGGGTTGAAGTCCCATTTATGAGCTGTGTGACCACAGGTAAGTCACAAATCTCTCTGAGCTTCAATGTCCTCCCCCATAAATGGAGACAATACCCCGTGTCTCACAGAGTTGAGCATTGCAGCAAAGTATAAGAGAGCACCTGGCACATACCAGCAGGGGCCCGAGAGACCCCCGAGGAAGGGCTACACAGGGACCTGAGTCTTTCCTCCACAACAAGGGAGCAGCTGGGTCTTCTGGGACAACCCACTCTCCTGTTTTCCTCCTCCCCGCCTACCCCCCACCGGCAACACTTTCCCTGCCTTGGTGTTGCCTCTTACATAGCGTTTGGAGTCATCCCTTTCTCTCCACTCTATTCCACAGGAAGCGGAACCTTCCTGGTCCAGCCACCATCATCCTGATGTCCCCAGCAATCTGCCAACCCGCTCCCTGCATCTACACTGCCCCCTCCCCCCTGTGCAATCTGTTCTTCCTTTGGAGCCGGAGCTATCTGTGCCAAAGGAGAATTTAGCCATGTCCTTATCATTCTCAGTACAAAAACCACAACCCTCAAGACAGGCCCCATGTGTCTTTCTAACTGCTGTTGACTCCTGCCTCCGGGCTCTGGAACTACGGCCCTTGGTTTGGTTCTGCCACAAAGCCACGCTTCCTTCTACCTCAGGACCTTCGTTCAGGCTGCTCTCTTTACCTGGGAAAAAGCTCTTCCTTTTTTTCTTTACCTATGCAACCCTTCTCAATCTCTGGGCCTCAGGGAAGCCTTCCCCCACCCCCGGGTGGTCTCATAGCATCCCTGACTTTACCTTCGTGAAACTTACCACAGCTTGAATTTACGCACACCCACGCACACATGCACACCCACATATACCTATGATTATTTGATGTCTTTCTTTTCTTCTAGACCGGGGTTGGGGAAACCAGAGCCAATCACCTGATTTCATAAGTGAGGTTTTATTGGAGTGAGCCATACTCATTTGTTTACATATTGTCTATGTTGCTTTTGGATAGCCTGCAAAGCCTAAACTATTTACTCTCTGGCTCTTCATGGATGTTTGCTGACCCCTTGCTCTAGACTCTACATTTCCCGAGGTGGGGGACCACGTCGGTCCCATCCTTCATCAGAACCCAGACCTGGCCAGGTGCCCGCATGGACCAGGCGCTCAACAGAGATACGGAGATGTTTCTTGGATAAGTAGCAATTTTTACCTTGTCAAAATTGTATCGACTTAAGTTATTATTAAAACTGCAGATTCCATTAGGAATAGACACCACTTATGAGATTCCCAGACCATTTTCTGGCCAGCAGCTCAATACGAGAGTGCCATCCCAACGTGGGCTGGCACGGCAAGGAGCTCAGAGCTAGCTGCCGCTGCCCACACCTTCTGCAAAGCACCCACAGTCCGCGTGCACGGTCTGCAAACACACACAGGGAGGAGCACGAACCCGCGCTCGAGAGATTGTAGGTTGAGCGGGTTTATGGAAATACACCGTGAGATGTCTCTTAAACATTTTCATGAAGGCTGTTTCTAGATCTACTCCAAAGAACTGATTGACGGATTCAGAGAAAACGTCTGTTTTATTGTTATACAAAGGCAATAATTGATTTTCTTTTCTTTTTCAATGAATTACTCGAACATAAAAATATGTTAACAACCTCTAGACACTGCGCTTGGCACTGCACATATACCTAGAACGGACAGTGACCCCTGCAGGGTAAGTCTCATTGTCATTCCTGCCTTCCCAAGGGGATAAACTGAAGCTCCGAGGCCACACGCTCAGCAAGTGATAGGGCCTGCCTGTCCCAGGTCTGTCAGAGTGAGAGCTTACACCGTGCCCCCAGCTTATGCAAGGTAATGGGGATGATGGGAAATGTAAAACTGCATCTTTGGTGTGCTTAAAGCCCTCATGCACAGAATGCTGCCGGCCCCATCTGTGGCCTCGGTTGAACCCAGGGGCAGGAGGTCCCATGCAATGACAAAGTGGCGACGGAGAATATTATGCAGAGAATACGATGCTTTTAGAACCCTGCATGTACCAATTTGCATTTATTTTGTGTTTTATTTTAAATGCAGATGTTTTGAATGAACACAGGGTTAGGAATGTCCACTCTGGCGTATGGGCCTGGGCTCAAACCCCAGCTCTGCCACTTTCCAGCTGTGTGGCCGAGAAACCTCTTCAGCTTCTCTGAGCCTCAGTTCCCTCATCTGCCAAATGGGGATGATCGCAGGGCTAATGCCAAGGGGTCATTATGGAGATGAAATGAGATGATGCATGTCTCCCTTTAGCCTGTCGGGGGATGGCGTGCTTGGGCCCCTCGCTGGCCCCGAGGCCCTCCCCGCAGGAGAGAACACTGCCTGAGAGGAGGGACAAGCCTCAGCCACGGGCTGCACAGCCCGGTGGACAAGCTGCTGCTCCTTGCAGGCTCACACCACACCCAGAGGAACCAAGGCACCAGCTGGCAGGGGTGGCGTGCAGCCCTGGGTTCGAATCCGCTTACACTCCCACCTCCCTGTGACATCTGTGGAACCCCCGGCCATCACCTACCCGCAGACTTGGGAGTGAACTTGTCTCGGTTCGCAGCACACACTGCCAGCAGTCTGTAACCGAGGTCCAGGTCAAACCCTTGCTGAGCTGCCACCCGACTGACCACCTGCCAGCAAGAGAGAGAGGAAGGGCAGGGTGAGTCACGGCCAGCACCAGGCCTCCGAGCCCAGAGTGACGGATGTGTCCATCTAGCAGGCGAGGCAGGTGAGGTGGGCAGGCTAAGGCAGGTCCCCAAGATCAGGCAGAGCTGGGACTCAAACTGTGCCTTGCTCAGTCACTCCATAAACACTGACAAGTCCCTCCTCCATGCCAGGCCCTGGGAGCCTGGTCCCTGCCCTCAGGGGTTTCTAGTCCACTGGTGGGCCTAACCCCGAAGCGCAGGCCCTGCGGCTTTCAAGGACTCGATGTGGCCACATTCCAGAAGGTGCTGTACCACCGTGTCTTGGATGGCTACAGGCCAGGCCTCTATTCCCCGCCCCGCCACCCCAGGCAGCTCCCCAAACTCCCTTCTAAGTCCCGGCCCCGGGAAGTCTCCCACACCTAGCACCTCTCTCCATGCCCACCCCGAGCTCCTGCACCCACCTTCGTGGGTGCTTGCTGCCCTCACCATTCCAGGCATGGTCCCCACCCAGTGGCACTGGTCCTCCTAAGTCATAACCTGTGCCTAAGGAGAAGCACGGATTTAGGACACACTGCTCCACGGAGCTGCAGCTTGGAGCTGCCGGACAGACTGCTAAGGCTTTTCCAGATGGACATGCCTACGCTCCTCAGTGCTCAGCTCTGTGCCAGGCACCCTGCAGCTTCTCAGACCTGGGCCCAGAGACCGCAGGGCCCTCATGCTCAGCCTGGGGTCTGTCTCCAGCGCTGAGCACCTGCTCGGCACACAGGAGGCTTCCATCAGAGTGTCGACGGAAGCTTGCTAGCAGCTGTGTGTTTGGAGCCCCGAGGTCCCTCCCTTCTCCTTGAGAACCTCTGAAGTGTGGGCCAGAAGGGGGAGAGGAGAGGGACTGGGAGGGCTGTCAGTCCCTGGGGCAGTGTGGGGCAGGGTGCTCTTGGGGGCCCCCCAAATGGCTCCACAGGCTCACACCCATCAGGCTCCACTCCTTCCTCGCCCACTCCCAGGTGTCCTGCCACGGCCAGACCTGCTCCCTCCTGCCCGCCTCCCTCAGGGACAGCAGCAAAATTAGGTTTCCTTATGAAGAAGGAAGGACCTTGGGAAACGGAGTCGGCGCAGGAAGCAGCGGGAGCGGCTACAGCTGAGTGGGAAAGGAGTGCTCCCAGATGTGGCAGCTTGCTCTTTTGAGAGAGGGAAGACTCCGTCAGCAGGCCCCTAGACACCACCTGTTCCAGAGGTGCTCGGAGGCCCTCAGAGAGCCTCAGGCTGCCATGGGGTTTGGCCCAGCCCCTGCGACCATCAGAGTAGGTTCCCCGTTATCTGCTTTGTATTTAAGGGTTCGTTACAAGGGCTCTAAGGCTAAAAAGGGTGGGGAAAGCGCTAATCTAGGCCAACCCTGTCATTTAAAAAGTATGAACATTTAAGGCCTGGACAGAGTGAGCCTGATGAACCAGGGAGGAGCCAGTGGACGCCCTCTTCCCAGGGCCACCACCACCTTTTGGAATGGGGTGTCGTTCCTCCCCCCCACCCCCACCTCCTGGGAACTCCCAGGGCAGGGAGGAAAAAGGACCTCTCGGGTTTGAATGTTTGCTCAGCTTCTCTGCTGCCAACAGGAGCCCCTGATGCAGAGCTCCTCTGTTCCTCCAGGCCTCTTTTCCATGGGCTCTATTTGCCCCTAACTGTGGTTCTTATGGTACCCCCTGTCCCTACACACACCCCCTGATCCAGAGGCTCTGGGCCACCTCAGGGCAGGGCATTCTCACTGTTTTTTTCGCTGTCCAAGCAGAAAAACCAAGGCCACTAGCTCTCTGTGGCCTGTTGAACATTTCCGGTCTGGAGACCAGCACTGTCCATTTAGCAGGTGAGGCAGGTGAAGCGGGCAGGCTAAGGCAGGTCCCCAAGATCAGGCAGAGCTGGAACTCAACACAGTAGGCCCAGAAGAGTCACTTCAGCTTAGATGTTGACTATCGTGGCCTTTTCTTTGGCAGAGTCTTGAGGTGGATGTGAGTGAGCACAGACAATTTGTTTGGACTAGTGCATCAGTGAGGCTGCTGTTGGTGGGAAATGTTGATGGAGGCAAACAGCATAATGAGAATGCTGGCTGCCCGGTAGGAGGGCTAAGTGAAAGCTTTGTAAGCAGTGAAGTGCCGAATTCTCACAACAGCTCCACGAGGTGATATTATTATCTGTTTTACAGAGGAGGAAACTGAGTATGGATATGAGACAAAGGTTATGAGTCTTGTCCATGATAGAGCCTGGATGCGATCCCAGGCAGTCAGGCTGCAACATCTGGGCTCTTTCCATGAGAGGATCTCTTTTTCAGCCCACAAAGGGTTAAGGCCTTACTCCCAACTGCCTGGAGAAGCCTCAGGCCCTGTGTTGAGGGCAGGAAGGCAAAGGTCCCTCTGTTTGGCCAATACTGGCTAATCCTGTTGCTCTGGTTTAAAAACACACACACAACAAAAAACCCAGCTAAATTGAGCAACAGGGGCCTGGTGCTGGTATAAGGGCTGTCCTGCAGGCCTGGGAATGTCTGCTTGTCACCAAATCCCCTGAGCCTTAGTGTTCAGAAGGGACACTGGCAACAGCCAGCTTTCACCAAGCCCAGAGAGGGCAGGGCCTTGCTGAAGATCAGCACAGCGCAGTGCGGCTAAGCTGGACCCCGAGGCCCTCGAGGCCTTAGGTACATGAGGACCCCCTGGAAAGTCCTGTGAGATGGGTCTGCCTGACAGTGGTGGGGAGGGTGGACTTAGCTGAGTAGCTGGTTGTGTTTCAGAGGCCTGCTCCCCCCTCTGTGGGCATGGCACCCCCAGTGAGGGTCCTGTGTGCGGGTGGGCCGGGAAGACCCCTCCTCTACAAAGGCCGGCGGGGAGCGGCAGCCCCGCTGCTGCCCTCTGCTGGCTGCCCGGGCCCAGCCGGCTCCTGGCACTCAGAGACCTAGCCCCTCCAGGGCCCAGGGGGACGGACCTACAGGTCAGGGAGTCCAGCCCCTCGTGCCAGAGAGGGAAACTGAAGCCCAGAGATGACAGAGGCCGTGTGCTCAAGGTCAGGCGGCCAGTTAGCCCCATCAAGGGGGTGTCTTGCCTTGAAAAGCGGTGAGCCTCCTGGCTACGAAGCAGGACAAGCTGTCTGGGGGATGCTAGAGAAGGGATTTCGGTTCCAGGCATGGGGCTGGACTCTGACATCCTCTGAGGGAGTTAGGGGAACCGGAGGCATGCCGACCTGCACTCCAATTCTGCCCCCTCCCCGTACTGTGCAACCTAAGGCAAGTTACTTAACCTCTCTGAGCCTCAGTTTCCCCATCTGTGACATGCCTTCTCCTTGCGAGGATGAGAGCCAGGACCAGGCACACAGCTCAGTGAAGGCTATTTGTGAACATACCCTGACAGTTTCAGCAGTGAATTCTCTGCCGCTGTGGGGAAGTTCTCCCTGGAGAGATGGGGGGGCCCTGCTGTTAGGCTAGCTGGCCTCTGTTTCCCTCTGCCACCTCCTCTCCTTCCTATCTCCCTTCTCCCGTTTTCTGGCCTTCTCCTTTCTGTGCCTAGAGCGTATCAACCATACTCCACCTTAGGGGAGGAAGGAATGAGTCCAGAGAGGCCTGATTTTGAGGTGGATCCTCAGACAGGGGGCTCAGCCTTGCTGCTAGGGGAGGGCCGGGAAGTGAGCCGCCAGCACGGTCAGGAAAAACCTGGTCTGAGGAGCAAGTGGTGACCAGGGCTCACACCCTCACCCCTTGGGAGGGGCCCCAGGGCTCCCCCACTTCTGCATCATGGGGGTCAGAGGGCCTGAAGGGGAGTGTGGGGCAGGGCCACTGCCAGCCATTCTTTACCCCAGGGCCCAGGCGCAGTACGACGAAAATGGGCCTGCTTGAGGCTAAGTGGCTTTTAATTTCTATCCTCCAAGTAAGCCGGGTCCAGAGGAGTTCATTCCCAGGGGTCGCCCAGGGGACTGCTGTAACCGGGAGCACTTCAACCTGCCACCTGCATGGGGAGTGTGGCGGGGAGCTCAGCAGCTTTGCCCTGCTTAGGCCCCTGGGGATCTCTGACCTCCGGCATCCCCTCCCTTCCCACGGGACATGGCTGGGGCTGAGGATGTGCAGGGGGACGGAGGACCAGCCGCAGGGCCTTGGGGGCTCAGGAGTACCAGCTTGGGACTGTAGTGAGCTGCTCCCCCTTTCTGTTGTCTTGTTCATAAAGCAGAAGTGACGATCCCTTCCCTGCCTGGCCTGCAAGGTCTTCATAAGGATGCAAGGAGACGGGGCCCAGGAAAGTGCCTCGGGTACCAAGGGGGTCTGCTATGACCTCCCCATTCCCTGCACTTCCCTGCTGCTGGTTCTACTGAGCTCCAAGGGACAGTCAAACTCAACATCTCTGCCACTGTGGCAGGTGAACCAAAGGCCCGTTTCTGGCTAAGCAGCAGGCCAGAAAGGTGGGGGTCAAAGCCCACCATTCAAGCAAGTTTGTGCCTTAAGCTGGCTTGCGATGAGGAGAGACCCAGAAGAGCCGGCACTGAGCCTTTGTCCACACCGTTGTCCCTGCCCCAGAAGCCACGGCCTCCCTGCTGTCTAGTCAGATCCTACAGGCTCCTCCCTGGGCTCCCTCCAGGAAGACCTCCAAAATCCCTCTAGCCTATCCTACTAGGATGCTCCCCTTCAGAGCTCCTGTCCTCACATAAATCATAGCCTATCGCTCACCTGCTTAAGATCCTTCAAGGCCCCCCATCACCCTTCAGATAATATCTAAGCTCCTCTCCCCTCAGCCTGCAGGTCCTGCGTTGCCTTGATTCTGCTTCCTTCTTTAACCTCATCTTGGATCCTTTCCCTCTCCTGTGCTCCAGCCATCTGAGACTTTTCCTTCCTTCCTTCCTCCCTTCCTTCCTCCCTTCCTTCCTTCCTTCCTCCCTCCCTCCCTCCCTTCCTTCCTCCCTCCCTCCCTTCTTCTCTTTTTTCTTTCCTTCTTTCTTTCTCTCTCTCGCTCTTTCAAGATTTATTTATTTGAGAGAGAGAGCGCGAGAGAGTATGCAGGAGGGCGGGAAGGGGCAGAGAGAGAGAGAATATCTGAGCAGACTCCCTCTGAGCCCAGAACCCAACGTAGGGGCTCAATCTTATGAGCCATGAGATCAGGACCTGAGCCAAGGACGCTTCACTGACTGAGCCACCCAGGTGCCCCCCTGAGACGTCTTTCTGTTCCTTGAACAAATCAAGCCTCAGGGCCTTTGCACTAGCAGTTCATTCTGCCTGGAGCACCCTCCCCTCTCCTGGCTGACTTCTTGCCATTCTGGTCTCAGCTGGGGGTTACCCCCTCAGGCGGCTTCTCCTGAGCAGCACCCCCCCCCGCCACGGGGCACTGGCCTATGTCCTTATTTACTCCTTTAGTGTTTAGGGTCCACCTCCCCCATCCCCCACTGGAACGTACACTGTTGAGAGAGGTCCACTGTGCTTGTTGCTCTGCCTCTGGTGAGCACAGGGCCTCAGTGAAGGTTTGTCAACTGAATAAATGAGTGACAGGGCTGGAGCAGGGACAGTCACTGGTCAGCTCGTGGCCCCATCATGTCCATCCAGCCTGCCCAGGGCCATCGTCTGATTCAGCTCTGAATCCCTACCTCCCGGGCAAGGCCAGGCTCGGGCAGGGTGCTGGGGGACTGTGGCAGCCAGTCTGGCCACACCTCGTGGTGGTCCCCACCTCCTACCTGACTTATGGCTGCCGGCAGCTATGATGGAAGCTGGGGGGGCCTCTGGTAACATCTGTCCTTGCCCAGGGAGCTTAGCCTGAACCAGGATCCCTGCAAAGAGGATTACGGGAGCCGGTAGAGGGAGGGGAGCCCAGCGGGCTGGAGGAGGAAGAGGGTGGGGCAGTGTAGGCAGCCGCTTGATTTGGCCTGGTGGTTCCAAGGGAGCCAGACGGCATTGGCCTCAAACAAATGGGGTAGCCCTGAGGGTCTCGGCTGTACCCCTGGCCGACATCCCTACGGGCCAGGAGCATTTCCTCTAGAGGCAGTGGGGTCTTGGCTATGTGACCTTGGGAAGCCCTCCCAGCAAGCCTCAGTTTTCTCCTCTGTAAAATGGGGATGATGGCAGGGCCAGCCTCATGGAGTGTGAGGAGTCAGTGAGAAGGTGTGTGCCGGCCCAGCTCAGTGGCAGGCACAGAAGGGGTGCTCTGTAAGGATGGCCCACGATCATGTCAATCCTCTCGCTCCAGGCCAGGGCCACGCTGGGCCTTTCGCCTCCCTCCTATCTGGAGCTTCTCAGAGAACGTGGCGCACCCGCACTTTACCTATTGTTCCTTCCCAGCCAGGCATCCACCTGGGCCCCTCCTCCCCAGCCTTGGGGTAGCTGGGCTCTGAGGCAATCTGTTTACCCATGTCCTCTTCCAAGCTGACTCAGGGCCTTCTGAGCAGCTGTCCTCGCTGGCCACCAAGTCTCCCTCAAGCTCACGTGGCTGGGGTCATTCACAAGCCACGAGTTCCTTCTGCGTGGCGGTCGGTCGGCAAGCTCCGAGGCTTGGCAGATGATGTCACAAGCTCTGGCCCTGGCCCTTGCCCAGCCCGCATCCCAGGCCCTCACCGAGCTGAGTGAACTTCGGCTCTCTGGGCTCTATTGTCCATCTGGGCCTTTGCACACGCTGTTCCAAGCGCCTAGAACGTGCTCACTCTGCCCAGCTGCTGGGGGGAACCCCGGTGGAGGTGTCTGGGGCTCCTTCCCTCGGGTCTTCCCGCCAGCCTCCCCACCTCCTGGGCCATCAGCGCGTCCCTGCTCGCTGCTGCTTTCCCCTTGCACACAGCTCTCTCGGCCCACTCTCTCCACATCAGGGCTCCCCCACTAAAGAGGGACTCGGGCTTGGCCAAGTCTTATTCTGTGGTTTCCTAGGACTGAGCTGAGGGGATCAGATGTGACAAATGAGGGCTCAATCAGAGTTTATTTAGATAGATGGATGGCTATAAGAGAAGCTCAAGAGATGCTTCTATGAATGGACAGAAGGATGGATGACTGTAAAAAGCTCACTAGATGTTTGCCCAACTGGATGAATGAACGACTGGATAAAAGGATGGCTAAAAACGCTCCATGACTCTGTTTTGCTTAGGGTGGAACATTTACCCTCATCAGACATGGAACTCCCGCCCAGGCAGGCCCCGTGCTTTCCCATCGAGTGTGGGGAGCCCACCTCATCCTGAGGGCTGTCTTCCCATCAGACCGGTTTCCCTGAAGGTGTATGTTGGGGGGCGGCACAAGGAGAAGGCTTGTCCCCTCCAGCACTGGTGTCTTTCTATCTCTCATCCTCTGTTGTCTGGGGCCTCTCTGACCCCTGGACAGGCACACGAGCCCCTGGGGCATCCTCCCGGGCTCCAGTGCAGGTGGGGGGGCATGAAGACTCACCGTCAAACAGCCCATCAGGCTCTGCTCGAAGGGCCGCTGGAAGGCTCGAGGGTCTCCACACCAGTCCAGCAGCTCCGTGGCGGCATTGTGGAAGTTGGCAGGGTTCTGTAAGTGCTGTGGGAGAGGGAAGGAGGCAGTGTGAAGCTCCAGCAACAAGGCCAGCAGGGTAGCATGTGGGTCTGGGGCGGCGAAGACCCCAGGCTTCACTGGGAATGAAACTCGAAGAAAGGGGGGGTAGGATTAAGAAGGCTTCTCAAACAACCTGTCATTCATTTTTCCCTGTGCATCCCTCCCACCCAATCCCTGCAGGATGGGGATTAGTAGCCCCATTGCAAAGACAGGAAAACCAAGGTCTAGAGAAAGACAATAATATTAAAGTGTTTTCTGGATGCTGGCTGTGGGGGCAGGTAAACTCTGCAGAGTTCAGGAGGGTGGCCTATGGCCTCCATCCTTGGGGGCTGGCTCTCCCCAAGCCAGGGCAGGCTAGCCCTGGAGATTCCTTTTTGATGAAGGCCTCTCCCACTAACCACCACCACCAACACAGCCCAGGTCTGGAAGCCCACGAGCTCTGGCTTCAGAGAAAACTCAACCATGGCCAAATAGGGCAGGGGTCAGGTGGATTAGAAAGAGGTCTCCGGGCCAAACCCAGCTTGGGAGTTGAACTATAAGCATGCTGTGCCCAGGATATTCTCACTCCAGGGTCTGGCATATGTGGCTTAGCTCCCCAAAATCAGATTTCGCAGGCCCGGTCTGGCTAGGCTTGGGGGCTGTTGGCATTGTCGGGAGGGGTCCACGCCTGAGCTCAAGCCCCTTCCAGTCAGGGAATCTGAGTCAGCAGACACTGAATCCTGGGGCCAAGGCTTCTAGATCCTGCTTCAGACCCAGGCCACAGGGCTACCAGGGTGGGCGGGGGTGGCTTCCTTCTCTAACACCTGCCCAGGTCTTCCCAGGTCCCGATGAGTTAGTCCTTAGCCCAGGGGATGAGTGACTCGCCGAGGGTCACAGAGCTGCTTAGGGGCAGAGCAGGAATTTCAGCAATGGGTGTCACGAGTGTGGGTCCTCCAGCGGGACACCTAGGGTGTGTCTGCAAGGGTCGTAAGCCAGCTGCAAAGGGGCTGGTGGGACCTTCTAAGGCCCCTGTTGCTTTGGTGCTGGGAGAGAAAGGAATAGTAGCTTCCCCTGGGGCGGGCGCTCTATTCCAAACTGCAGTGCAAGTCTGCCTTGGAGCCAAGGCGGGGAGGGGTCTTAGTAGCCGCCAGGTCCCGGAATTAGGAAGGAATGGAATGTACAGTGGCACTGAGCCCCTGTGGGGCAGGACCCCGGGGGCTCCCTCTGCCTTTGCCTCCTGCTAGCTGCTAACCCAGGGCAGTCCCTCACCTTCCCAAACCTCAGTTGTCCCATCTATAAAAGGGGGATGACCGATCATGGCTTGGTGGTGGGACTTTTTATTTCTTTTGTGTAGGGTTTCATGACTATTCTTACAACGTGGGTCGTGCAAGAAAGATTTAAAAATGGATGGAAGACAGTGAAATGAATTAGAATATGGTGCCTCTACGGGAGGAAGCGGTGAAGGCGAGAAGGAGGGCAAGCGAGCAGCGGTACAGCCCTCTGTCACGGGGCCGGGGAGACAAGATGAGGCTCCTGCGGCCCCAGGCAGGGCGCCTGGCACGTGGGGTGCTCCCACGTGGGGCTGCCCTTGGCCCTGACTCTGGCTCCCGGAGGCTCCCCTGGAAGCACAGCTGTACTCGGCAGCTCTCGGCCCTGGCTCACATAGGCTCTTTCTGCAAAGGCAGAGCTCCCTGCACTTGATGCGTAGGAGACGGGAGGAGCCTCCACATGGAGGACAGGGCCCTTTTAGAGGGCAGCAGGGGGTCCTTACCTCTGCCTCCAGTGCTCACTCTCTAACATGGGCCCCTTCCGAGGCCGGAGGGGGGCCATCCGGGCTGCACGTGGAAAGCCATGCAAATCGGCTAATTCCCTGTCCGGCGGCCTCTCTCGGCTAACTGAGTTATTTCGTTTATTTACGTGATGTCACACCCAATTAGCAGGGTCAGCAGCCACCACATGCTGCTCTCAGAGCTGCCTGCCCATAGCACCCTCACCCTTGGCAACCCCTTTGGGCCTCCGGGCTCACAAGCGGCCAGTTTTGTTCTGGTCCCCAAGCACGCAGCCTTCCATATGATGCTCAGCCCACCTCCACGCTTCTCCACCCTTACGCAAGCCAGCTCATGTGGCCTTCAGCTTGGGCTCTGGGTGGTCACCACTGGGCGTGACTCACTGGTAGAAAGAACACAGGCGTCCCGTTCAGTGGTTGCTGCTCGGCGGCTCTGTGGCCTTGGCCAAGCCCCCACCCCTCTCTGTGCTGCTGTTTCCTGTTTCGACTATGTGGTCCCTGGGCTGCACAGAAGCGGGTGACCTGGATCAAACCCCATCTCAGCCACTGAGCCCCACAGTTCTGGGCGTGTTCCTGAGCTTCAGGCCCCTCACTGATAAAATGGGGTGCTGACAGCCTGCAAGGCTGCCACACAGCTTAGGAACAATTTAAATCATGCCGTCCCCATGTGAGAGTCGGTGCCAGGTAAAGACTGCGACTGCTCTGACCTCTGTATAGTTTCTTCTCTCCTAGGAGCTTCTGGAGAGTAGAAATAGTGCCCTGTTCACCTCTGGAACTCACGGCCACGCCCGCGCCGAAACGGGTGGTGAGCCATTAACTGTCCAAAGGATGGTCCATCTGTGGTGTAGGTTGGCAACTTGGCCACTTCAGATCAGGTCCCTCGTGGCATGTGGAGTGGCCAGGGCTGGATGGGGGAGCTTGGCCAGGCTTGGATGGTCTGGGGATGGGAGCACAGATCTGAATCATAGGCAAAAGCTTCCCTGGGTGTGGCCGTTACTGGATACTAATGCCTGAACTCCCACCAGACAGTCTGCCTGTCTCCACAATTCCTAGGAAGATCTGGGTTATATCCACTGGCCACTGAGTCTGTTGGGGCAGGATTAGGGGACACCAAAGCCTAGACCTGTTGGATTGGCTACCCAGAGCAAGTGATGACTGCATCTTCTTATTAGTCCATCTATGAACCAAACAACCTGTTCATCCAATGAATCAGTCCATCCATCCATCCATCCATCCATCCATCCATCCCCTTGTCCATCTACCCATTCGACCGTTCCCTAATTTATTCATTTCCCATCCATCCATTCATCTACCTACCTGTCTATCCATCCAAAAGTTATCCAACCTCCCGTCCATCCATTCATCCATCCATGTGTCATCCATCATCTGTATCTACCTGCCTAACTGCGCATCCCTATGTCCATCCATCCACCCTTCTGCTCATTCCCTTTGCTAGCCATCGATCAGTTCACCCCTCCCCTGCTCCCCCTCTACTTATGTGGGCCCTGGCCTGGGGCTGCGCTAGGCTCTGCTGACTTTGAGATGAATATAGCACATCCTCTGCCCCCAAGGAACTCAGTCTGGGGGGAGGCCTGATATGTGCCCCACAGGGCCGATGGCTCAAGGGAGAAAGAGCAGGGTGGGTGAGGCAGCTGGGTGCCCAGGAAGCAGTGGGGCTCAGAGATGGGGGGTACAGGTGCTCAGAAGGGCCCGTGGGGCTGGGGGAGGCTGCTGTGCAGGAATTAGCCAATTTGTGTGGCTTTGAACGTGCAGCCCAGATATGTGTGTGACCTCTGAGTGGGGCCCATTGTAGAGAGGGCACTGGTTCTCCCAGCACTTGGGGCTGAGATGGGGGAAAGGCAGCTGAGCCAGAGGCCTGGAGGGAAGAGAGGTAGCAGGGTGCTTGGGGGATGGCCAGTGTGAGCAATGGCTAGAACCAGGGTGGGGTGGGTGTGTGTGTGGGGGAAGCTATGCTTAGAAGTGAGGCAGGGCTGGGAGTCCGAGACTGCAAAGCCCCGATGAGGCCCAGCCAATGCATCTGTCATCCTCAGAGCATGCAGACCTGCTCGCCTTTCTCTTCTGATTAGGAGAGAGGACGTCTGAGAATCAGCAGTCTTCAGCCAGACGCGCCGCCCTCTGGGGCAGTCGTGGAGCAGAGAGACGTCAAGTACTGAGCTGTGTCTGACCGGAGGTGTGGAGGGGGATGTGGGGGGTGTCAGGAGCTCTGGATGGTCCAGGGGGGCATCTGGACAGCCTGCTCACTCTCACAAATGCATCAGGGTCTGGCCCTAGCGCAGAGCTCTGGGCGTGTAGGTGTGTGTGTGTGTGTGTGTGCATGCACATGCATGGGACGGCAGGCTGGGGGGGAGGGCAGCTGAGGAGATCCCTGGCCTTCCAGCTGCCCTGCACACACCGGCTGGGCGTCCCTTATGATGCTATTCTACAGACCGAGTGGGGTGAAGTGGCGGCTTAATCAGGGTCAGGTAGCTAGCAAGTGGTGGAACGGGGGTTCGGACTGGCTGACTGGTCAATCTGAGCCCTGGGGGCCATGCTCTGAGGGGGTAAGGGGCACCCTGATTTCTTGGCATGCAGAGCCAGCCATGGGAGAAAGGTCAGGTCGTGAGCAGGTCTCAGGAGGAGCCGCATGCCTGTCACTAGGAGGGGCTCCTGCCGGGTGGCGAGACTGTGCTGTTGGGGGTGGGGACCACTGACAGCGGATCCCTCAGGGCTGGGAGAAGCTGGGCCACAGGCTGAGCTGGGAGAGGGCCTGCAGAGCCCCAGGGAGGAGGCGAGCGCAGGGCTGGAGGGAGGGCACTGTCTGGCTTCTATTCTGTGACCGTGAGCAGAGGTGTAATTGGCGTTTTGGGGGAGCTGTTGGGGCTGGGTTCAATCTGTAACAAGTCTTCTTCAATTTCCTCTCCTCAGACCCTGCCCAGGCTTCCGAGAGAGCTCCACTTGATATTTATGAGAGGACACACGCCCTCGTTCCTGAGGACCGGCCTCAGCTCCACTGGGCCCTGGCGCTCAGGGAGGGCAGGCTGCCGGGGGGTGGGGAGGGCTGGGAGCTCTGCCCCCCAAGGGTCCTGAGGCCAGCGGCCCATGCTGGTGACCCGGGGGCCTCACCCCAGCGCTTGCCTCCCCGCTGCTGAGGCACTGAGGACAACAGCCCCTGCCACCCTGTGACAGCCTGGACCCTTGTGATGGGTGGGGAAACTGAGGCTCAGAGAAACAAAGCCTGAGACTACGTGGGCATGTGGAGGCGTGAGGATTTGGGCTCAAGTCTCTCTGACGTCAAAGCCCATGCCCCTTCTACCATATTGCTCCCTCCGGGAGTCCAATAACACTCAGGAGTCTGCATAGACCCTGCCATGCAGGGCTGCAAGGAGGTTGCGCCCAGAGGGCGGCGCACCACTCCTGGTCAACACTGGGGGGCGCCCCCCAACCCTGGCTCAACCAGGCTGCTTAAAGTGGGGAGGGGGGTTGCTCTGAGCCCACCTGGAACATGCCCCACCTCTGAACAATCCAGAGAGGATGCTGGCAAGCAGATGGCCTCTTGAACGTGGCGTGAGCCTGGGCAGGAGGGGGAGCTTGCCGTCCTCAGGGATGAGGCGCCCCCCTCCACCCCAGCACAAGTGAAGCTGGGCTGTGTGACTTCAGCTGACTCCCTTCTCTTCTCCGTGCCTCAGTTTCCTTTTCTGTAAGATGATCTCATTTCCCAGAACTCTTCCTTTTCTGTTTCTTTATAGAGAACCACGGAAGCAGAGGGGCGGGGAGCTTAGGTCTGGGAAGGGGACTAAGCACTTTACTCCATCTTCACAGCAGCCCAGCTGACACAGCAGAGCCCAGAGAGGGCATGAGGCTGGCCCCACATCACACAGCTGGGAAGAGAAGAGGAGGGGAGGGGAGGGGAGATGAGGAGGGACAGGGCAGGGCTGGCATATGGATCCTGGTGTGTGATGTCAGTGTTAGGCCTGTCTATGCAGCCACATTCTCACGGGGTGGTCAGAGAGACCCGGGCAGTCAGCCCTGGCCTGCCACCACCACCCAGCACCCGAGAGGCCCAGCTCCATAGCTGGGCCAGCACCCCGCCCGCTCGGCCTGCCTTGCCGGCCCTGCCCTCGCCAGCTGGGCCAGGCTGGGCAGGGGAGGAGGCGCGGGCGCGGGCCACACACCCACCTGCTTGATGCACTGTAGTCGGTCATTGGTCTGTTGGATGTGCCTGTCCATAGAATTCATTCTGGCCGTTTCACTGGGTTCTACCCGAGAGCCATGAACGTTGTCCAGCCTGTGAAGACAGAAGACGGTGGGTGTAACTGGGGTTGCACCGGGCCTGACAGCCTCACAGCCACCCTCCGGCCCTAGCACCGACCTGCTGGCCCCAGTGGCTCCCAGCAGGCTCTGGGCTCCTTTGTGAGCTGTGGTAGCCTCCGTCCCAGCCAGCCCTGCGCTGGAGGGAGGAACTTCGGCCACAGCCGCCCGGCCCACGGGGAAGCCCATCTGGACTGAGGGCAGCAGGTGCTCCTGGGTGTTCTCTGTGGATGACTCACGTCAGCACTGGGTACGCATGTCCGCCATGGAACATGGAACAGCACACCTGGGCACACACATTTCTACACACGTGTGTGTGAGTTGGGGGCGCTGGTGGGGATGGCAACCCCACCTTCAGATTCCCAGGTCAGGACTTAGCTACCTACGTGGCTCTGTGTGTGTGTGTGTGTGTGTGTGTGCGCACATGTGTAGGGGTCCTCCCATGAGGCCCTCACCACGTGTGTGGTGTAAGTGCACAACGTGCCCCCCACCCCAAGCCCCCATGCTTTCGAGTTCTTCACGCTACGAACCCCAATTCCATTCTTCCCTTGCCTTCCTGGGAAAGAAGGGCAGGTGTAAGCGCCACCCCTCTCCAAGACAAGGAAACTGAGGCTCAGAGGGGGACAGAAGTTACCCACAGTGGCACAGGGAGCCAGTATCAGAGCCCAAACCAGGAACTAGGGCTCTGGCTGCCAGCTCGTGGCTCAGAGGGCAGGGTCCACAGATGTCACGGCCACCAGGCTCACTTCCTGAAGAGCCGTGGGCCTCGGTAATTCTAACATGAATGTGACTTCCTCCTGGAGCAGGAAGCTAAGTGGAGGAAGCCCCCTCAGCTCCAGAAAGCCCCCAGAGTCCCCAGGCCTCTCCAGAGAGGCCACAATGGCAAAGGCAGAGATGGAGAGAGAGAGAGAGAAAGCTGGAGACAGAGGAGTCCACCCACTGCTCAGTGGTCCAGGTCCTTGGGCCAAAGCAGAAGCCTGCCCATGGCCGCTGGGTTTGCTCTCCCATAACCCAGTGGGCATTTCAGGCTACAGACACAGGGTGCTGGACAGAGGCCTATGGCCCCCGGCCTTCTCCGCTCTCCTGTGGCACTGCCCTCCAGAAGTCCCCTCATCTCCTGCCGTGTCACCAAAGGTCCCATTTCCAGGCACTTTCTGTATTCTCTCCTTTACTTTTCACGCCCACTCTGTAAGACTAGAATTACCTCCATTTTACAGACAAGGAAACTGAGGTCTGAGATCTGAGAGCAGCCAAGTCCCCACCGCTAGTAAGAGCCTGTCTGAGTCCATGTCCTGGCTCTTTGCCCCCCGCGCGAACACCCTGGCTGAGGGAACTACCAGCAGAGCATGCCTGGCCCAATCTTGGGAAGAAAGGCCTGGTTGTACTTCCAAGGAGCTCTTTACTACCCAGCTCCTTGAAAGCACTTCCTATCGTCCCATTTGTATTGAAAAGGCAACTCATTTGCGTGGTTCAAAAATCAAAGTCCAGTGATGTGCTGACCTTGTCCCCAGCCCCCAGATGGCCTTCCTGGGAGGACCAGGGTCACCAGTCTCCTGAGGGTCTCATCTTAGAGAAGCAAAGATCTATGGGTACCATCCCCTGTCACCCCTTAAAAAAAAACAAACCACATAAAATGATAGCATTCTAATACACACTACTTGGACCTTGCTTTTCTCCTCTTAATCATATCTCAAAGTTTATTCCACATCAAGATATAAAGAGCCTTTTCATTTTTTAATAGCTGCACAGTATTCCTAGGCACTGATGAATCATTGATCCAACCAAATTCTGAATGTCCACCCCTGCTAGGCCCTGCTCTAAGGCCTGAGGCCCTTCTGCTCAGAGGGCTCATGCTCCAGACAGAGTGATGAAGCCTGAAGCCGTCTCCAAATTCATACTGCAAACAGGATTGCAAGAGCACCTTTTTATATTGGCCACATCATCCACGTGTGAATTAATCTAGAGAGCATATTCTTAGAAGTGGAGTTTCTGGGTCATTTGGGCATTTGTACTTTTGATAAATGCTTTCTGGGTTCACTCTACCTTGGAGTTCTCCCACAAAAAGGTAAAAGTAGGGGTAGTGCCCCACATTTATTTTTTTCTGCCCTCCAACATCCCTCTATTGACCCCGCTGATCACATGTTTATATACCCAAGTAGCCAACTTCTCCATCCATCATTTATTCATCTAAATGCCTGCCTGTCCATCTGTCTATCCATCCACCTATCCATGCATCCATCCAAACACCTCTAGTCTCCACCTGCCCACACATGCATGCTTCCAACTCACCCGGTAAATACTTTACAATATCTATACGGTGCGGGGTCCTATGCCAGATCTATAAGCCATGGAGATATGGTCCATGGTCCAAGCCAGTATTCACTCTATGTGACCCAGTAGTGACTATTCGTTGAGCTTCTCCTGTAAGTCAGGTGCTGGTCCAGGCACTGGGCATAGACAGACATCGTTACTATATTCCCACTTTACAAATGAGGAAACTGAGGCTCAGAGGTTTTAGTAGCAGTCAGCTCTAGAATCCTGGCTTTCCCATCACAACCTAAACTTCGGTGCAGCTAGTGGGGAGGGGCCAGGGGTCCCCACTGAAGATTGCTGTGGTGTGGTAGGCATGTGTCATGGTAGAAGTGTCGCTCCCCTTGCTACCCTTCTAGGTCCCCCAGGCAGGGGCTGAGTTTCTCCTCCTGGGTTTACGTGTACAGAGTCCCAGCCAGCGTCACTCCTAGAGGGCTCCTAGGGCCAGGGACAAACCATGGTGCCCAGCCGGCCAGCAGGGGGCGCTGTTGATGAAGCTAAGTACCCAGAGGGCTGGAAACCAGCACTGTGGGGCTCTCTCTTTAGGGCCCTCCTTCTCCGCAGTGAGTACCTAAGTGCCCCAAACAGAGAGGTTTTAAGCAGACTTCTTTGGCTTTCTAGGCCTTGGATTCCCCATTTGTAGAGCAGGATGGTGAGTGGGGATTAGGCGGCCTCACAAGACTCTTATCTCTAGGTAGACTTTTCCCAGGATGGACACAGCATTTTTATCTAGGGTCAGAGCCCTAGTGGGGCCTTGATAAATGTTTGCTGAATGGCTGACAGATCGTTTCTGGAGCCTGAGGGGGCACTCAGCCCACCCTGGGAAGCCCTAAGCGGGCATCAGGAGCCTAGGCCCACGTAGGCAGCCACCTTGGCACCCAGAGGCTGTTCTTTCTGCTCAATGCCCCCTAGTCTGGGCCCAGAACACTGGCAAGGAAGCTAGTAGGAAAGATATCACAGATCACAGGGACAACTGTGTGTCCTATATGTCTTAATCTATAGAAGAACAAAATGTCCATCTGATTAAGGAGACACTCACAGGTGAGATGACGTTTTTAAACTCCCGAGATCAGTGGAAATTTTTGGTTATTAATACCAGGAATGGATGGGGCTGGCAGTTCCAGCCCACAAAGAAAAAGGGTGAAGGCCTGGAAGGCTAAGGGTGCTGGGCGTGGAGAGGGGAAGGGTGGGCTGAAGGAGTTAGGAGAGGTAGCTCATTGTGGGGCAGTCTGGAATCTTGCATTTGTCCTGTCCCTGCCATGTTTAGGCAGCAAGCCTGATCCCATGCATTGCCAATTTCCTGAATCCTAAAAGGCTCAGAGAGGTGAAGCAACTTGTTCAGGGTCACACGGCCAGGAAGGGGCTGGGCTGAGATTCAAACCCACTGCCTTTCTAACCATTCCTGTGTTTTTCTTTTCACTCTTCCAAGACTGGCGTTCAGCCTCCTGGAAGTCCTCACTCAAAGGCTGTGTCTGGGCCCAAAGAGATGTCCCCTTGCTCCGTCCAACCTGTCCAAACTCATCCACTTCCAAGGCCCTGCCAGGGCCACGGGACTCCGTGCAAGCGGGCCACGCGGGGAGGTGGCGCATGCTCGGCAGCCAGCAGAGGTCGCCCTCGGCCATGGGAGCACGGCTTGGCTTGAGGGCTGCCTCCCTCCTCAGACCTTGGGCTTCTTCAAGCCTTTACAAGTAGCTACAAATCCTCCGTGGCGGCAGGTCCAGTGCCCACGGATGGCTGGGTTCCCTCCCAGCTGGAGACGGCTGACGGCCTGGCTCTGGGTGCACGCAAGGCCTCAACCCTTCCCGGCCGCCTGCCTGTCTCTGAATGGCGAGTGGGCTCAAGCAGTCAAGCCCCCGCCCCACCCCCCTGGTTGGGGCAGCCATGTGCCTGTAGTCAGCTTGGGGAGTCTGGGGGGGCCTCTGCTCTGATACCTTTCTCCAGGCCTCAGTTTCCCTGCCTGGAAAACAAGGCCGCCTTGGGCAGCCCTTCAAACTCCAACATCTTAGGATCCCTGTGTCAGGAACTCCAGCTCTTTGGAACACTCTATCTCAAACAAGTGTAGAATGCTTGACTTGAAACTGCAAAGCCTGTCCTAAGGCCACCCTGGAAACTGTGGGAGGGAGAGTCCCTGGTCCGGGGGAGCCTAAGATGGCACACACACCTCCTCACCTCACCCCCTAGGCTCAGCGTGGCTTCACGCCGCATGTATGTGTTCTCTGCTAGTGACACCTGAGTCCCTGGGGTCTTCCGACCCAGGGACGTCTGGAAGGGCCAAGCTCCTGTTCCACACTCCTCGCCACCTAGCAGAGCACTGGCCGAGTTGACTCTTGGTGGTACCTAGCACAGAAGGCACTTCCAAGAGAAGTTAGCTGCCCTTTCCACACGGAGGGCTGCTCCGAGTTAGAATGTTGAGAACCGGAAGGATACCAGGGGCCACCTGGTCCCATGCCCTGTGTGGCAGGACGGGGTGGGGGGCAGAGGTGGAGGGAGGGGGGACGGAGGGAGACAAGGGCCGAGTGGGACTGGCACCCATCTGGCTGACTCCCTGACAGCGTCATGGCCCTTGGCAGGCTCCTCCCTGGAAATGGGGAGCAGGGTGCTCTTAAGCTGCCCCACGGAAACGTGGGGTGCTGGGGCCCTGGAGGCAGCTCCTTAGGGTGGTGGGCC